GAATCTTACCTGAAAGATAAAGCAAGGAAAAAAAAAAAAGGAGTATTGCTCTAGGCACAAAGATTTAAGGTCTATGGATTCTGCCCTCCCCACTCCACAGAACCCCAAGACAGGCAGGGAAGAGAATATATTACCATGTCAAACCACAAGTGTCTTCCAAGAAGGGTAGAGTCAGTGAAAAGAAGCCTCCTGAGCTTTGCAGATCTTTGGGTGTGAGGAGTAGATAAGCCTTGAAGTTGAGCCACAGTTGGAAGTAGGGACCATAGAGATGAGTCATTCCACCAGCAGAGTGAAAAGAATAATGGTTAACTGGGACAGAAAGGCAGAGAAGGAAGATGGGACCAGCAGAATGGTGCCCTGTGGCCAGCACAGTCAGCAAAAGAAGTCTTGCTAAGCTGTCTCTTTACTCTAATGCAACATCAGCTGCCTAGGAAGACCCTATTTTCAATATAGTTTGTTAATTCCACAAAGGCCTAGAAGGCAAGATGTTCGTAAGGATCACAGACAGGGCTGCGTGTCTAGTACGATCAGGTATGCCATGGAAAGCACAAATATTAACCGGGACTAAGAGTGTAACAGAGGTAAAGGTCAGAAAAAAGGCAAGGAAATGTTTTACAAGTTGTCTCTCTAAAACCCCCTACCCATTTGGGGAATTAAAACCTGTATTCCTGCCCACGGCCAGTAATCAAAGGGGCAGAAAAAACGTTATTTGCTATTTCTTTTCTAGTATCTTAAACCACAGGAGATGGCTCAACAAAGTCACCCAGATAAGGGACACGAGATCACCAGGGTTGTGTAGCCCAACCACCGAAAACCCTTCTTTTAAACTTCCTGTATTTCTGCTCAGTCAGGATGATGGTCTTTTGGGATGCTGGTCTGCCGCCCTCCTCATTTGCTGACAAATTAATAAACTTCTCTTTCCTTTTCCTCAAACTACTTGTGCTCCTTTTTCATTCCCACTGAAACAAGTACCAAACTTCCAGTAATAAGAGTTGATCAATAAACTGAATTAATTCAATTGTTAAGACAATTCAGGAGTTGGTAAGTGCAAAGTGCTTAGAACAGTGCCCTGCATGCAGTAAGACTGATATGTGCTTGTTCATAAAAAAAATACAAACATACTTTCTTTAACTCAGCCCCCAAACTAGGCCCAGCTAACTTGGCCAGGTAAAGGAAATAGAAATCACTGTAGTAAGTGACAAAGAATCGCAATAATGTCCTCCCCAAATCGGAAGGCCAAATTCATTTATTATAATGACTAGGAGCCCAAGACTGTAATCTCATAAATATAAGTCTTCTTTTTATCTATTCTGAAGACCTATCCCTGAGCATAGGTAGAGATCCAGTAGAAAATTGTCCAACGAATAAATGAGTGGATACATGTTATGTTTTTAAGATACGTATTCATTTAAGAATTTTTTGAGGAGAGGCATGCTGGCTCATGCCTGTAATCCTAGCACTCTGGGAGGCCAAGGTGGGCGGATCGCTCAAGGTTGGGAGTTCAGCCTGAGCGAGACCCCGTCTCTACTAAAAATAGAAAGAAATTAATTGACCAACTAAAAATATATATACAAAAAAAAAAAAATTAGCCGGGTATGGTGGTGCATGCCTGTAGTCCCAGCTACTCGGGATGCTGAGGCAGCAGGATCGCTTGAGCCCAGGAGATTAAGGTTGCTGTGAGCTAGGCTGATGCCACTGCACTCACTCTAGCCTGAGCAACAAAGTGAGACTCTGTTTCAAAAAAAAAAAAAAAATTTTTTTTCTCCTAGCTTTCAAAGGACATAGTATTATTTTAATCACAGCATCACCATGATGATATTTTTCAACTTGCATGTTTTGTTCCTAGCTCTGAAGGGATTCTTGTGGTCTTAGAAGTACCAGTTGACTAATTTTGTCCTTAAACTTACCCCTAACTCTGCTGGGCCCACTGGCAAACGTTAGTAGATCACAAACAGGCAAAGAGCTCAGGCGTGTATGTTTTGCATGCAGTGGGTTGTAGCAGTATTTCTGAGCACAAAGGACTGCAGACAGACCCTGTGGTTCTAGCTACCTTCAAAGTGTACCCAAAGTCCGGCCACTTTTGACCACTTGCACTGCTACCCCACCGGCCAAGCCACCATTAGCTATGACTGCGGTGTCTCCTAACTGGCCTCCCGCTTCCGCCCTTGCCCGGCAGTGTCGCCTCTCCACGGGGCAGCCAGAGTGGCCTGTTAACACATGAATCAGATCGTGACCCTCCTCCGCTCCAAACACTTATATCCGTCGGGGTCCAATCAGGAAAACTGAAACCACTTTAGGTATTTCAAACAGAGGGAATACATTACAGGGGATCGGTGGCCGAGACGAGTCGCTGCAGGAAGCCACCGCAGCCCCTGGGCGGGAGGAACCAAAGGGAGAGTGGTGTGACATCGCACCTGCAATCAGGCCACCGGGGCGGCCGGTGCTCCTGCTTCTGCCCCGCGCAAAGGCCGCCAGGGGCCGGTCCGAAAAGCGGAGAGGAAGGCTCTTCCTCCCCCGCCCGCCAGTCCCCTGCGCCACCGCCCACTGGAGGGGGCCGCCAGGAAGGCGCGGGCAAGGGGGTCTGGGAACTGTAGTTTGCAGGTCTCCGGCCCCGGCAGGAAGCGGGAAGTTTGGAGGGGAGAGTGTAGGGTTGCCGGAAAACAGGCCCGCTCCAGAGCGGCGTCTCGCTCGGAGTGAAAGTTCTCATCTTGGCTTCGGAGGAAGGCGGCCCCCTCGACCCGACGGCACGCGCCCTCCCGTGCGCCCCCGTCCCGCCGCGCCTTCCCGGCTCCTCGGCCCCGCGGCGACCCGCTTCCCAGGCGTCTAGCTCTTCCATTTCCTCGGCTTGCAACGATCTTACCCCGGAGACGCCTTCCCAGCTCGCTCCCTCAACTCCTTTAGCCCTTTATTTCCATGACACCTTTTCAGTGACACCTCCCTGAGAACCAATTTAAAAATTGCGTCCCCTTCCAAATCTCCATCCTCCTTAGTGTCTTATTTTGCGTTCACGCTTTTATCCCTTTCTAACACATCCATACGCTGTATATGTAGTTTTATTATATATCAATGTATATCTTTTTATTCTGTATGGTGTATTTATTGCATAAATATATATTAAACATTTGTCCCATAAATGTATATATTTCAATTCTTTCTATATGATATATTTATTGCATAAATACATAGTCTATATTTATCTTACAAATGTATACATATTTAGTTGTCTATATTCCCTCACCACAATGTAAGCTCCACGGGGACCGGGGTTTTATTTGTTTAGTCTACTGACATCTCTTCAGTACTCCATAAACCCTAATTGATAGTCAACACTAAAGTATTATATACTTAAAATTTTGTTAAGAGGGTAAATCTCATGTTAAGTGTCTCTACCGCACTAATAAGACATATGTGTGGAGTGAATAAAATGTGATCGTTAGCAGATGTGTTTATTATGTGATGAAAAATGTGAAAGGCGCTTAAGAGCATGGGGCAAGGAACAGAAGCTGACACTGCTCACCCCTCCTCCCCTGGGCAGCCTCTCTAACATCACGAAGGCTAAGTCAGGGGCCCCTCCTCTGTGCTCCGAATGTTCCCTGCAATCAGCTGTAATCACCAGCGCTTGTCTCACTGTATTGTAACTATCTGTTTATGTAGCCATCTCCACCAAAGCTGTAAGTTCCATGAGATTCCAAAGGGGGATTGCCTCTCTGGGTAACACTAATATACATCAAGCACTTCCCAGTACTGTCCTGTATGCAGGGGAGCTCAAACAATGTGGTCAAACGTTCCTGTCAGCAGTAGAATACACTGAAAGGTCTCTTGGCATCACTCCTTTCTCTGGTATTCTGGAAAGGCAGAAGAGCCAACAGATGTAAGAAAACATCATCAGAGGCAGGAGGTAGTTAAGTATGGAAGCAAAGAAACCTGGTGAATGATAGCAAGTTCTGGGTACAAAAGGACAAATGTATCATGGCTTTGAAAAATATTTTAATCTTTTTTTTTTATTAGAAGTACTTATATTGCCTGAAAAGCATCGTGTCGTTGAATGATTTTAACAGCTGAATGTTAGAGAATAACAAATTATTAAGTTACGGCATCAAAATCATTATGGAAAGCGACAGGTCTCATGAGAGAACAGATTTCACAGTGTCATTCTCAAGAGCTCTGGGGAATGGGTGTTAGAGCTCCGAAAGTTCATTAACAAAAATATTTTTCTAATTTTATAACCAACTTTAGGAGACGAGAATCTTTCCTTAGTATGTGTATTCGTGGACAGTGGAAACATAACTGCTAAAAAGCAGCGTTGGTTAATTTTTCTTTTAGAGGTTTCCAGTAGATAACCTATGCTATCTCCATAGTCCTTCACGAAGAAATCGTGGCTAGAGTTTAGACTTAAAATAGATTCTTTTTCTTTGGTAATAATTCAGGGGCAGGGAGAAGTCCTACCACACACGCATACTTGAGCACCAAATTTATCATAAATAGCTTTGTCTTGGCTTATAATCTCGGTAGGTAGGTGGGGGCAAGCAAAAGTGTCTTATCTCATCTTAACCTAAGAAGTAGCACTGCCCACTGCCTCTGTGGTTATTTTCTAAGCACATCACAAAGGAGCAGCTTAGGGCTTTGAAAAGAAAGCTCCTCAGCTCACCTGTCTCTAGAACGAACACCCCATTTTGCCTGTGGTAGCCTCCTGGTACCTCCAGCGCCGGCCGTCCCGTTCCTCTTCTACTTAATCAGAAATTCAATTTGACCAAGAACGGTTTGAGATGCATTATAAGCAACAGAAATTCAGTTCCTCAGACATGTGCCTTTTTATTCCTTTCTTACCGCATAATTTTGCAAAATTTAACTCCCAACTAGAAAATGACTTCAGCCTGCTGCCTGAAGCGTACGTTTATTTGTTCACTGGCGCAAGGTGAAAACTGAGCTAAGTCAGGTGAGATACTCTCGCACCTTCCTGGAAGGATAATTTTAGAACCAGTTTCAAAGCAGACTCTAATTCAGAGATGCCCCTACCGCTTAGACTCACATGGAGATGCTACCAGCCTCCCGAAATGTCATCAGATAATTGAGTTCTGCCAGCAGTGGAAGTGATTTGCAGTCGCTCTGGCCTCCTTGCAGGGAGAGGCAGGAGGAGGGGGAGGGGGCGGTTTATTAGAAATCACTTTAGGGAGGGTGCCATAAAAGCAGACATGCAAGAGCCGTGGGCTATTGATTGCAAATCTGGCAGGGCTGCAGGCCATTCTCGTTGCAGGCAGGGCACCTCAGGGCCCGATAGGACTCCTTAAATCTGTTGGCCAGCATCGAGAACTTGCTGCCGTGGCACAGAGAGCAGGTGGCACTGCCCGACCCTTGGCAGTGAAAACAGTTGTCCTCAGGAAGCTCCCCTTCCTGCAAGAGACAGGTCAGGGCTTAGTTAGAGCAGCACCTCAATTGCATCGTTCTCATACAGGTCAAAATAGCACTTCGGCAAAGGCTGGGGCAGAATTGGGGGGAAAATGCTTCCCACAGATGCCAGTGAGGGAACTGGCCGGGACATGGAATATCACAGCAAGTTAATCGGAGCATCTCCCTAGTGGACATCTCTAAGACCGCACCCGCTGCCACCATACCGTGCATTCCAAGACTTTATGTTCTTCATCGCCCTTGTCACCATCTGATATGTTATATCTGTAAGCTCCATAAGGGCAGGGACTTTACTTTTATCACTGCCAAATACTAATAGTGAACCCTTGTAGCATGGCTGATAGGGGCCAGGTGCTGTTCTAAGAGCTCTCTCTATATCCATCCATCTAATCCTCACCAAATCCCAGTGAGGTAGTAGGAGTATTATCATCCCTGTGTCACAGACGGGAAAATGAGGTACTGAGAAGTCATTTGCCAATGGTGACACACACAGCTTGGAAGAGGAAAAGGCAGGTTTTGATCTCAGGGAGTTGAACAACGGAATCCAAGCTCCTAATGACTACACACACGACCTCTCGTTGTAGCTGTCCAATAGCAGGTGCTCAAGATCGTTGGTAACTGAGAGACTAAGTGGACGAATGAATGAATGAATCAATCAATATCAATCAATAAGTGTTACAATCCTTCAAAGCTTGGCTCTGAATTCTCCCAGTACTTCATCTTTATTCTCTTTGAGAGCTGTGTAAGGCCCAGTGATTAAGAGCTCTGTGCTTTGGAGTTAATCGATTAGAACTGAGGCTATTGTTGGACTTCAGCTGTGTAGCTTAGACAGTTCCCTTGGCCTCTCCCAGTCTGTTGCTTTACCTGTGAAATGGTAATAATAATGTTTACCCTTCTGAGCAGCTGGACTATTAAATGAGAGAATGCACGTAATGCAATATTATCTGTCTGATCATAGGTTCCCTGTAAAACTTAGTTCACTTCTAAGCCTTGCCAACAAGTCCTGGACTCCCACTCTCCAGAAAATGCCCCTTGGCTATTGTCTTGCTCTTGCCCTAAGACATCTCAAGGAAGTTGGCGATATTCATACTCCTTATAGACTATGAACCTTCCAAGAAATGAGGGGAGATACCAGATCAATTTGCAGTGAATCAAGGAACAAGTCCTGTCCATTTCACCTTCTAAACACCTCACATCCATCCCATTCTCTTCATCCTACAAGCACCAATCCTAGCCCAGGTGCCCACCCATTCTGGCACGAATGAATGCAGGGTGGACCCCTGTCTCTGATCCTGTGGGGTGTTCTCTCCCCACTGATGCAGCCTCATTAAGTTGTGACTGCCACATACAAAGCATTCAGCACAGTGGTGTGATCACAGCTCACTGCAGCCTTGAACTCCCGGGTTCAAGGGATCCTTCAGGAAACCTTTTAATGAACTCTTGCCCTTCAGATAAAACCTCAGGGCATTTAAACCTTTTGTCACTTCTTTCATCAGGCTCTTGTCCTTGGGCCTCTCTGTACTTGGTCTCCAGGGACCTTTCCCCACCCACTCCCAACCCAGCCAACTCCTGCTTGTTCTCAGAGGTCAGCTTAGCAGCTTTCTCCAAAAGGTCTTGCCCAACCTCACCTCCTGACCAGGTGCCCCACCCATGGCCACCTGTACTGCCGCTAGCATGGCAGGTCTCTCTCTCTGCTAAGAGCTCCCCACCTCCTGACCAGACAGGAAGCTCTCTGCACTAGTGTCTTCTCACCATCCCACCCAAACATCTAGCACAGTGCCTGGCACAACATTTGTGCAGAATGAATAAACACACAGACGTGTGGAGAACCCGTCCTGTTCTTAAATTCTAGGAACCAATAAGATAGCTGGAGTCCACTGGGTAGCTCCACTCAACTCACACAGCTTTCTTTTTTTTTTTCTTTTTGAGACAGAGTCCTGCTTTGTTGCCCGGGCTAGAATGCTATGGCATCAACCTTGCTCACAGCAACCTCAAACTCCTGGACTCAAGCAATCCTTCTGCCTCAGCCTCCCGAGTACCTGCCACTACAGGCATGCGCCACCATGCCCGGCTGACTTTTTCTATATGTTTCTAGTTAGCCAATGAATTTCTTTCTATTTTTAGTAGAGATGGGGTCTTATTCTTGCTCAGGCTGGTTTCGAACTCCTGACCATGAGTGGTCTGCCCGCCTTGGCCTCCCAGAGTGCTAGGATTACAGGCGTGAGCCACCACGACCAGCTGACACACAGCTTTCTTTTCTAATTGAAAAATAAAAATAATCCCTGAAAGGGAGGATAAGTTTTGAAAATAGCTCTATTATGCTACAAAGTGCCCCAAAAGGTATTAAACTTAATTGATCCTATTTTTTAAAATTATTTTTGTTTCTTTTTTAGAGATGGGGTCTCACCCTGTTGCCCAGGCTGGAATGCAATGGTGCAATCATAGCTCACTGCAGCCTCTGTAGCCTCGAACTCCTGGGCTCAAGCAATATTCCCACCTCAGCCTCCTGAGTAGGTGGGATGACAGGCATGAGCCACCACACCCAGCTTGAATTTTATTAAGTCTAGATTTAGGGAATAGAAGGGATTACTCATCTGACAAAATTCAAATTATGTCTATGTACCCTTGTGTTAATATTTTATTCATTATTGCCATATTTTAATCTATCACCTATACAGAAATGTGTTTTCATTTAAAGTATTCAAAACAAATATCATTGCCAAAATATTCATAAAGCAAATTGCCACAATCCGTTTTCCTGCCAGATCCATTATGCTTTATGTTTTGGATTTGATCCCAGTGAGATTCTAATGATATAAGTCAATGTTGCCCAAGAAAGTACAGTAAAATACTACCATAATGCTGCACATGTGATCCAAAAATTCATTTGCATAAAATGTCAGGTCTGTTAGATAATAATGAAAGATGGATGAAATGACCTGGTGAGCCTGCTGTAGAGAACAAAAATAAATCTTCAACCAAATTATAGCTAATGTCCCACTCTAGGGTGCATTGTTAGGGTTTCACTGGAATTTCCATTCTTATCCTGGGTTACAACTCTTTCTCCAACCACTCACCCTCCACGTGCTTTTTCTATTCATTCAATTACTTCCACAAGTATTGAATGAGTACTACTCTACACAAGGTGTGTGTACTATAAGCCTCTTTCTTCCTTTCTCAGTATTTTCTAAATTATTCTCAAAAATACTTAGTAGGGGGATATAGAACAGAGTTGCACAGTGTAGCTTAGGTTCTAGAACCTGACAGACCTTCCAATTCACCTCTTCCTAGCTCCAGGGCCAGGGAGGAGGGCCTGATCTTTCATTGCAGACTCAAAAGCTTGTGTTGCCCTAAAGATAGTGACCAGCACCAACCTAGAGACTGCGTAACAGGGCAGTTATGATCATGAGATCGGTCGACAGTTGGACCTAGATTTGACTACTGGTGCTAGTGACCTCTGGCAAGTTACTTGACCTCTTCGAGCCTCAGTTTCCCCTGCTGCAGAATGAAACTATCAATAATACCTACCTCACAGGGTCCTTGTGAGAATTAAATGGACGACCGCATGGCCAGCACTGGGCAAGGTGCCTGTCTGTCACGAGCCCTCAATAATAAATGGCAGCTATTACGATGATGAGGATGATGATTACTACGATTTCAAAGGTGAGATCACATAAAGCATGAAGAAGCCCAGATAATTTGTGGCCTCACATCCACTGAGCACAAAGCCAAATTTTTTCCCCCTCCACCTTTTACTGCAGCTCAATTCAATTATTCTCCTCCTTCCCTTTGATAGTTAATGCAGAGACCCAAGCCCGGCCTGGCTTTCAGCCGTGCCCTGCTCTTTCATCAGATTCTCACTGCTGCCCTGCTCCATATAACAGAACAAAGAGTCTCTCGGTCAGAAGGGGCTCCTTGATGTTCCCTGACCCTCTCTTTTAGGATAAAGCTTGTCTGGGCATTTACTGCATGAGGGATTGCGCAAACAAACAGCAATTTAAAACAGAGTTTAAAGGACAGACAAGTGAAGTATAACCTTTCACGTCAACCTTCTGCTGCACACCTCTGTCCTAGTTTACAGCATTACAGTTAAAAAAAAAAAAAAACCACGGATCTCTCCAAATTGAATGTAAAGGTAATTGTTATATCCAGGCCTACTCTTGCTTTTTTATTCAGACCTGCAGTGTGACCCACATCTTACCGTTTCTGGCTCTTTTCTGAAAATACAGCCTCCGACAAGTTACAATCTGGTATGAGAAATAATAGAATTAAAGAATTTTACATTGAGATATCTTAAGTATTCGCATTCAAAAGTTTTTGCTTAAGTAGTGCACAATTGAGCCAATTTGGGGACCCCTGCTGTAAGGTCGGCTACGAGTAGGACAGGCATGGTGACGCACCTGCGTGTACTGGTTATGGGGGAACACGCTATCCGCCTCCAGCAATGGCCCGTCGTTCTGGTCCCCGTCCCCGTAGCTTTCCTCTTTGCCCATCAGAGACTCCTCTTCAACCTCTTCTTCATTCTGGAGAATTTTCCTCATGAAGTCTCTCTTGTCCATTGGGGTTCGAATGATTTTCAGGTTGTTTGTGTAGATGATTATCTTTCCAAAATCTATGATGGGTGGGGGCTAGGGAAATGGAGAAAGATCATGGAAACTTCAGCACCAAACGCGGGGCTGCAGAAGCTGTCTAACATCCCAGGAAACAGAAGAGGAGGAACCTCTACCATCCAACACTTGTGATCCCATTAGGCACCAAAGCGGCAGCTCATTCTCTGGTTGGTTGGTTGGTTCTCTTTGAAAGCCGTGAAAACCAGCTTCCTCTATGGTAACCAATCAAAGCTGAACTGCTCAGAGTGCAAGACTCTGGAGGGCAGGGCAGGGGCTAGAGCTTCCACTCTTACTGCATGCCCCAGTAGCCAATGCAGTGCAGGGCTGGGCACAATAAGCACTTAATCAATGCAAACACTTTTTCTCATTTTATATAAGTATCCCTCCAAAGTTTTTCTATGCATAAATAATAATATTAGTAAATGCCACTTATTGAGCACCATTTGTGTGTCAGGATCCATGTCTTACCAATGTTACCTAGATTTCCATATTTTGCGTAGATGCTACGATTTCCATATTTTACAGGTGAGGAGACTGAGTCTCAGAGGGGTTAGGTGCCTTGCCCAGGTGACAGAGTCACTCAGGGAATGTGGCTTGGATTGCAAGCCAAGTCTGTCACACTAAAGCCCATATTCTTACTACCTACACTGCACTATTGACAAGCATTCTCCCCCCAAAATATAGGATCATAGTGTATACACTCTGTTGTAACCTATTTTTTCATTATCCATGGAATATGAAAATCTTTTCATATCAACAAACAGACTTCTAAGGCATCATTATTAAGAGCGTATGTTCCCTCATATGAAATTGCCATGTGGCACTTAATCATTTGCTCAGGAATAAATGTGGGGCAGTAAAGAAAGCAGCCTGGGAAGTGGTTTGTGATTTCTTAACCAAGAACTCATATTTTGCCCAAAGTCAGGACAGCTTGGAGGGACGTTGTGTTGGATTCCAGTCCTACTGTCTACCTATTGTGAGATATAGGAGAGTCACATAGCCTCTTAGAACTTCAGTTTGCCCATCTGCAAATGCGCTAGTTGGTAGGCACAGCCCCTGACAAACTAGTTATTAGAATACAGAAATACTTCTATATTGGGTGGCAAACAGGTGCTGTGCTGAGACTCCTGAGTGCCCTCTTGTCACTCCAGCCTCCTCTCAGGGAGCCTCTAACATCCCAAAACCCAGTAATATAAGATTTAATACTTAGGACCCCTAGTCTCAGGGCCCTGCCTCAATGCTCTGCTGGCTTGTGTACTGATTGGGCAATGTTCCTGTGGTTAAATATTTTGACTCTCATCCCTGAAGCTAATTACATCAAGTTCTGGGGGGGTGGGAGATGCTATGAAAAATGTAGCAAATATAGGCTTTGCAAAAGCTGGAGATACTATGCAAATGGTGGGCATCATTACCATCGTTATTATTAAAAACTTTTCTTCAGTTGTGCATGCACAATCATGCTACACAACTGAATACCTCAGCGTGAACTATTCTGTCCTGCTTATAGAACTGTACGATTGAATCTATCTAAATGCTACAGTTAAGCAGCCTTACATGTATTTTATCAAAACCTGGTATGAGCAAGACTTCAATGCTCAGGTTCCCTTCCTTGAAACACCCATAGAGTTTTCAATAATTATTTATTAAGCCGCAAGCTTCCTATGTGGCCCTGTTTTCTCTCCCTCTCATCAAGGGATTGTGTGGCAGCTTCCATTTCCTATTGTTTTATGCAGGCTGGATTCCAGTTTCACACTCTGGAATATCAGTTTCTGAACATCAGAAGATAAGGACGGGGGTACTTTTGGAAGGTTCCATTTCTACTTCCAGTAATAGCCAAAGAGGTTCAGTTTCTAGGGAGCTTTTTCATATCTAGAGCTGGTTTTGTTTTTCAAGACAAAGCTCTCAATATACTAAGAGAATGTGAGATCACCTGGTCCAACCCCCTGCCTCTAAGTTGGTCAACATCCAAGACACCCCCCGTAACAAATTCGCTTTAATGTACCCCAAAGATGGAGGGTCCCAAATCACCCTTAAGGTGTGTTTAAGTTTCAATCTCCCTGACAGCTGAATTCTTCCTTGTGTCTGAAGAAACTGTCTGGGTGTAAGTAAAGTTCATGTTATCTGATTACATTAATTGCCTGTGAGGAACACCCACTCTTGAATTATAGAGGGCAGAATGGAGCCAAGAATTTTTCATTTCCTTCCATAGTGCCCAGAATGACAACCTATGTGATTGAGCATCCGTAACCACTCTGGTGTCTGTGGCAACATGCTTAGAGATTGTTAATCAGGCACTACCAAACCCTTCCATTGCTCTGTTTTTAAATGCAGAAATACCTTATTAGGTACTAAAAGTGCAATGGGCTTTGGAGGCGGACAGACCTGAGTTCAAATTCTATTCAAATGTTATTCAACAACTGTGTGAGATTTTCAAATCGTTCAACCCCTATGAACTCCTGTTTTTGCAATCTGTAAAACTCTCATAGAAATATCATGAAGATGAAATTACATAATATGTACAAAGTAGGCGTTCATCAACTGTTACTCCCCTACTTTTTCCCTTTCATTCTTTTCATGAACCTTGTAAACTTCAGTTGGTTTTAATTCTTTAAAGTATTTTAATTATTTATAACCACTTTCTCTACCCATCACATAAAAGACTCAACATTTCTTTGATCAGAATCTGCTCTTTATCAATCACAGTTGTGGGTACATTTTCTGAACACACACAACAACATGCTAGGCACAGTGATAAGAGCTGTTTGTGTACTGTCTTTTTAATCGCCACACAACTCTTTCAGTAGGCACTGTTATTTCACTCATCTCATGGAGGATGAAGTTGAAGTTCTACAAGGTTAAGTAGCTTGCTCAAGTGTATACAGTAAATGGGTAGAACTGGACATCAAGCCCAGGTTTTGTTGTGGTGGTTTTTGTTGGAGATGGGGCTCTCTCTATCACCCAGGCTGGAGTGCAGTGGCCCGATCAGTGGCTCACTGTAACCTTGAACTCCTGGGCTCAAGTGATCCTCCTGCCTCTCAGCCTCCCCAGAAGCTGGGATTACAGGTGCCTACCACCATGCCTGGCTAATTTAAAAAAAAAAAATTTTTTTATAAAAACAGGGTCTCGATATGTTGCCCAGGCTTGTCTCAAACTTCTGGTCTCAAGCAATCCTCCTGCTTCGGCCTCCCAAAGTGCTGGGATTACAGGCGTGAGCCACTGAGCTCAGCCCAAGCCTGGATTTGACTGACATCAGAGCCCTTGTTTTGTTTTGTTTTTTTTTAATAAGTCATTATTATTACTGTGGTAAAATATACATAACATAAAATTTACCATTTCAATCATTTCTAAGCGTACAGTTCAATGGCATTAAGCACATTCACACTGCTGTGCACCCATCGCACCATCCATCTCCAGAACATTTTCTTCTTCCTAAACTGAAACTCTAGATCCATTAAACAATAATTCCTCCTTCTCCCCTAGCCCCAGCTCCTAACCACCACCATTCTGCTTTCTGTCTCTATGAATTTGACTACTCTAGTACCTCATATAAGTGAAATCTGACAGTATTTATCTTTTTGTGACTGGCTTCTTTCATACATAATGTCTACAAGATGCAGCCATGTGGTAGCATGTGTCAAAATGCCCTTCCTTTTTAAGGCTGAATAATACTCCATTTTTTTTTCTGTTTATGCATTCATCAATCAATGGGCATGTGGTTTGTTTCTACCTTTAGGCAATTATGAATAATACTGTTATGAACCATGGTGTACAAACGTCTGTTTGAGTTCACGGCCTTTGCTTTCAATCATTGCACTTAACTGTTATCTGATGTGGTCTCATAACTAGTATTTACTAAGAGTTATTTTATGATTGGATCCACTATTGAAAAATCATGACATCCCAGCTCTCATTTCCTTATTTTTCGTAAATGCTACATTGACAAAGTGCTTCAGTGGAGGATGCTGCGTGAATCCATCTTGGAATCTCTCATACTCACAGGCTGGCTAAGACTGGGATGAGGCACTGGATCAGACAATAGAGAAAACAAGCATCACTGGACCAAGTAGTTGAATTAAACCTTCAACACTGTCTCTAGAGTACTGTGTTTGAACCAACTGAGCCATGCTTCAGTGAAGACTAGTTTACCGAGATTTATAAATCCATGTCAAACCATACATTTACATAAATGCCAAATTTGGCACATGACTTATGAAGGTCAAACAATCCAAAATTATCTACCATGGCCTTGTACAAGGTTTTTTATGAACTATGACTTTGTAAATTCTAAACCTACACAAAGGATACAGTAAAAAAGAAACACTGTAAGTGCACGACATAGCCAAGTACCAAGACCATAAGAAGTACTCAATAAATGGTAGCTATTATTATCATCATTATTATTACATAATAATCATGTTCTCTAAAAAGGAATATGCCCTAAAACAAAAAGTATAAAGAATCAGAAGACCCAGATTCTTATGATTCTGCACCCAATCACCCTGTAATACCAGATAGATCCCTTAATAACTTGGCACTCAATTTTCCTCATCTGCAAAATGGGAATGATCATACTTTGCCCTCCTCTTCCAGGTTATGGTAGAAACCCAATATGGTAGATACAGATAGAATATTAAGTGATAGCATTTTATAATATATAAGGTACTTCATTAATATAAGGTGTCATTCATTCCAGCCCCCTTTAATATTAAAAAGAGACCTGGCATTATCTTTGATAATTGTGGACATGCCCACAATTTTACCAATGTCAGCAAGGCCAATAATACATTTGTCTGCAAAAGATATATTATCTATTCCCTTATGAAACTAACAATAAAAATAATCAGAGAATAATTATCTGAATTTCACACTTTAAAGATGAGAACTCATCCTGGTGTGCTATTATTCATTAATAATGTGGACATATTATATAATTGTATTTAATCTTTTTTAAAAGACATCTATGGTCCCAGTGACAGAGAACATAAACACACTTCCTGTGAATTTTGGAAATCAGTGAGTATTTTCCAGATTCTTTTAGCTTAAATCATGTATGGGCTTTTGATTATCCATGGTAGCAGGGAAGTAATTGAAATTCACAGATTAAACACATGCTTCAACTGAACTATTAGCTCAAAGTTCTTCCCCATGTAACATCTCCTCTGGCTGATTTCCTTTTCACCATCTCCTCCCAGGACTCCACTACCCACACTTCATGCTAATGAGCAATGGAAAGGCAACATAAATAAATAGAGAAACAGCTTTAAAAAGCGGAGAGTAGAAGGACCATAAGGGTGAAAAACAGGACATGGATAAACCATAAGCTAAATAATTGGCTGGAATAAAATGAGTGCCTTCAAACATTCCACTCTTTCAGGAAACAAAATGACCCACTTCTGCATAATTTTCTAAAACGGCAGTCTGCCAACCTGGAGACCACGGCACCTCTATTTAATTTACATCTGAGAAAACCCAAAGATCCAATTACAATGTATTGCTCTGAATGGAATTTGAATTCTCTATATGCTCATTGCGCTTCTCAATGAGGAGTCAACAAGCATGTTATTTTTGCCCCAGAAATATCCTAAATAGCGGCTTCCCATTTGGGTCACCTATAGCTCTGGCTGGTACTAGGGCATGAGTCAGAGGCAAATCCAAAGACTTTAGATGTTTCTCTTGAACACAGTTTAGGCAGCCCTACCCTGAAAGCTTATATGCCACACACAATACCAACCTTATGGTCATTCGCCTTGTAATCGTTGAACAGAGGCTGGCTGCCTGCCAAAGTATAGGCATTGCCCTCTCTAAACACGCTGATCCTCTGAGCAGTCAGCTTAGGGGAGCAGAGTGGGGGTTTGGGAGCTTCCCCAGACCCATACACCCCATCCATTGGTTCAAGGGACTCCTGGAGAAAACTGTGAGGGTATTCTTCCTTGGGTGACTCTAATTCCTGCCCATCTTCAAAGACCTGCTTCAGTACTCGGCCACTGTAGGAGGAAGAGATTTTAAATCGGACTTTCCGGGGTTTGCCATCGCTCTTCTGATTCAGCTTCTTCTCGGGGTCCTCCATCAGAAGAAAGCTCACTCTGTGGTTTCCAGGCTTCTGTGTGGCCAGTGAAACCTGGGCCTCTGAGAAAAAGGCATTTTATTTTGTCTCCTGCATATAATTAATTGAAGCTGTTGCTAGGGCAGGGTCCGTTTACAGCAACTGACACCCATCCATTAAATATTGATAGACGCTCATGAAAAGGAAGGCGATTGCAGGTTTGTGAAGTGGATGGAACACAAGACAAGATTGGTTCTTCTCGTAAGTCCAAGCTCACCCATAACTTCACCCCCAACCCTGGCTTTTCCTAACCTGAGGATGAATCAGTTTACTTATACGGAACAAGGGCCAATTCAATAAGCATCAGATACTCAAATCAGTTAACAAGTGTCTTGTTATTGTTACCAATAACAACTATGATCTAGTGAGCATTTAATAAGTGCCAGAGGTTGTGGCATGCATTATCTTACTTTGTCTTCACGGTTACCCTACGAAGAAAGCATTATCTCTTTTACAGAGGGGAAAGTGAAGCTTAGAGCTGTTTCTTTGTTTGTCTCCTCTAATACAGCTAAGCATCAGACAGAGCCGGGATTCAAACTCAGATTTATCTGACCCCAACACCCATGATCAGTCCACCATGCCGAAGTTTTCAAATTGCGCCTCATGGGACCCTAGATACAGTGGAAGCTCTTGGGGGTTGCTGCTTCGAGCAAGAAAGAGGAAGCCCAGGGTTCTGGATTCCACTCCTGCATTAACCGGGGCAGCTCCACTCTGTGTGTATTTTACATCGAGGATTTCATTTACAAGCATAGCACTAGTCCCCACCGCCTGCTGGACCTCATAAATACCCAACGCCGTGAGATAGTCGCCGCCATGAATGTCAGAGCAGCATGCGATGTGGGCCTGAGAACAGTCCTATGATCCAGTTTGGGAAACAAATCTAACACATGTGTGAAATAATAACCTCATGCTTAGGGAGCAAACTGTCCACAGCTGAATCCCAGAATAGCTAATCTGGGAAGGGAGTGGTCTCTAGGAGACAAGGATTCGAGAAGAAGGCTTGCAAAGGAGAGGGCCCTAGGGCTGGGTCTAATGGGCGGGCTGGATTATTTGAAGAGCTGGAAGAGTGGGGTAAGGCCCTTCTCCCCGTCTTTGCTAATGGGATCACCATTCACTTAGTTGCCCAAACTGACATATACCAAACTCCTACAGCCATTCTTACAGATTCTATCGCCATTGCCTTCTTTCATCCACCCCCACCTCCCTGGCCCTACGTCAAACCCTCATCACTTCTGTTTTCCAAGTTGCAGCTGCTACTAATGACTTCCCCACCCATCCCCAATTCCATTCTGCACACTGCTGGGAGAGCAGTTTCTAAAAACACGAGTCTGTAGATACCAGTCTCCTGCTGAATAATCTTTTCCAGTGGTCCAGTGTATAAGCCCTAACCGTTCTGTGCAACAAAGCCCTTCCAAACCTAGCCTGCCTTGCCTTATGTCCTCTTCAGCCTCTTCCTCTGTCACTCTTGCAGGTGCTGCCTGGAACTGGTATTCTAGGCACACGGATCCTCTCACCCATTTCTCAAAACCATGGTTCTGTCTCTTATCCAGTTACTCTGTTTCCTGATTGGAGTGTCAAACTTCCACTCCTCTTTCAAATCACACTAAAAATGTCACTGCTCCTGGAAGCCTTCCCACCGGCCCCAGGGAGAATGCCAAGGAAACTTTGGACCTACTGTCATTCACATGCCTTGCCATTCCTGTTTTTCCCTCCATTCAACTGTGAACCCCTTAGAGTCAGAAGCTGTCTGTAGCATCTCTCTATTCCCAGTGTTGACCAAAGTGCCTGGTACCTAAGAGAATTCAGTTAATTATGAATGACTTCAGGTGAAAGACATCAGATAGATAAAACTCTGGAGCAGGAACTGAGCATATTTTGTGGAGAATAGTGAAGAGGTGGGATCAGAAGATTAAGAAAAACATCTGCCTTTCTGCTAAAGAGGGGTGCCACGGTCATAAAGTCCCTTTGTAATCAATGCAAAAAATAGGTGGGGGATGGGATGGACTAGGAAACCAACATTTAAAGAAAAAAAAAAAAGATATGCTCTTTATGACATAAGAAGACATATTCCTCTAGGTTCCCTAGAATGAAGAGCTGACCAGATGTGCCATAAATGGATTATAAGAGACTGTGACCTTGATCCCTCAGCCCTCGGTGCAGCTGGGGGTGGGGCTGGGGCAGGACTACACCAGTCCCATTCATTTACTCCAATGAATAGAACAAATATTATTTTCCATGCGTGCAATGCCATGAAAAAGATGGGGAACTCCTAACCAGAAGAATAGGTTCTTCTATCTATCATAGGAAACAGATATTAATAAATGGCCAATAGCCTATCCTCATCTGGAAAAACCAATAAGCTGACTTCCACAACTACTTGTTAAATGAACATTTTGAATCGCCCCCATTGAAACCTAATTGAACACCATTAACAAAGGTAGCCCTTCAGAAGGGTGGACTTCAACCAGATCAAAAGCTAGAGACGAGTTCTCCAAAACTTTTTTGTTGTTGTTGCCCAGGTTGAAGTACAGTGGCTCAGTCATAGCTCACTGCACCTTTGAACTCCTAGACTCAAGTGATCCTCCTGTCTTAGCCTCCCAAGTAGCTGGGACTGCAGGTATGTGTCACCATGCCTGGCTAATTTTTTCTTATTTTTTGTAGGGGCAGGGTTTCACAATATTACCCAGGCTGGTCTCAAGCTCCTGGCTTCAAACGATCCTCCTGCCTCAGCCTCCCAAAGTGCTGGGATTCCAGGCATGAATCACTGCACCCAGCCTGTTCAACACTTTTTTTTATTACCTTTTCCACATTCACAGACAGATTTTCAGTGCACCAAACCAAAATCTTGGAAAGTTTTTAAACAGTCGTACTTATTTGATCATTTTTAGATGTTGGAGTTTTCAGAATAGTCACAACTAATACACTTCCAGAAGGAGGATAAATTGATAAATTGAAAGCAATTTTGACAGTGTTATCAAAAGCCTTAAAAATACTCCTATCGTTGAACCTTGCTAAGAAAGAAAATACTGTAACTGCATTTATCAGAAGAAATCGTGTCAAAACACTAACATCAGTTGCCTCTAGGTAAAGGATCTGAATGATTTTTTTCTTTCCCAGCTTTGTTATATTTTACTTATCTGTGATAAGCACATGTTACTTTGATAATCAAGAGGAAAATAAATGAAAAAAAAATCCATTCCTTTCAACCCAATTATTTCTAAGAAAATAATTTTTAAAGGAGAAAAAACATTTATACAGATAAAGATATCCTCCATCATATTATTCATACTGCAAAAAAAAATTGAAAACAACTTCAATGTCCAACAGTAGGAATGCCACAATATGAAAGAACATGTAGTAATAGTAATTTTTAAAAGGTTTTCAAATAGTTTGAAATAATATGGAAAAATGTTTATGGTAAAAATTAAGTAGGAAAAAGTATAACAGATTTTCTGTTCTGTGATATAGAATTTACTATGTAAAACTACATAGAAAAAAAGACTAAAAGTAAATACATTAAAATGTTAACAGTGGTTCTGTTTGAAAAGGAGATTGGGATGATTTTTTGTTCTTTTCCTTATTTTTATATATTTTTCTAAATTTCCCATAATGAGCAAGTAGTAATTTAAATATTAGAACAATAGGGTTCTTTTTTTAAAAAGTAAGCTATGCCTAGCACTTTAAAACACAGATAAATTTATGCAATTTGCTAGAAAAAAATAAATCCTCAATATTCTGCTATATTTTTTCTGGTTGGATTCAATAATAGGAAATCATATAATTTTATTGTAAAAATATATGTTTGGTGCCATTTTAATACAAAAAGAAATGACTTGCCCAGGCGCAGTGGCTCAGGCCTGTAATCCTAGCACTCTGGGAGGCTGAGGCAGGTGGATTGCTCAAGGTCAGGAGTTCAAAACCAGCCTGAGCAAGAGCAAGACCCCGTCTCTACTAAAAATAGAAAGAAATTAACTGGTCAACTAATATATATAGCAAAAATTAGCCGGGCATGGTGGTGCATGTCTGTAGTCCCAGCTACTCGGGAGGCTGAGGCAGGAGGGTTGCTTGAGCCCAGGAGTTTGAGGTTGCTGTGAGCTAGGCTGACGCCACGGCACTCACTCTAGCCTGGGCAACAAAGCGAGACTCTGTCTCAAAAAAAAAAAAAAAAAAAAAAAAAGACTTTAATTCAAGCCAAACGCAAGGAGGAATGGTTTACTCAGGGACATATCCAGCTGCAAAAATAATTCAATAGGCTATTGAAAGTAGGGGTGACTTACATAACAAAGTCATTTTAAAATCTCCAAATGGAGCTCAGTGTTTTTTAGAAGCTCTGATGGACACCTAAGGAAGTGATTAAACTTGGCATCACCAATGTCGGGACGGACAGAAATCGTGTCTCCTGATGTGATGCTTTTTTTGCAGAGAGGGTGCCCAAACCAGGATGATCTTGATGGTGGGAGGGGGCAATATTTACAGTCAGACCAGGACAGGATGCAAACTAGAATAAACCCCACCTATGGGGTATTCTGGACAAAAATCTTTAATATTTTAAGCAAGCCTAACTTTTTTAGTTTACCAGAAGTATAGGGGACAGAGGAATGAGTTAAATGGCCCAAAACAATCAGACAGACAAAGCCACTCTGTGGGACATCCTACCAGGTCTCATCAAAAAATCAGTGTATGGTGGGGGAAAAATGTTGCAGGTGGGAGGAACATTCTAGATTTAAAGAGAATAAAGAGAGCTAACCAAGTGCAATATCTAAACCTGGATTGCTTCCTAGAGAAATTTGACTCTAGAGTTCACATCAGAAGGAACTAGAGAATTATTGTTAATTTCCTTAGGCAAGATAATGTTATGTAATTACATGGAAGAATGTCCTTTTTGTAGGACATACATGCTGAAATATTTAACAGTTAAGGCGAAATGTCATGATGTCTGCAAACTATTTTGAAAAAGTTTATCC